AGGCTGTTTGTTTGGGTGCAGTGGGCTTCTTCCCTGAGAACCCTCAATTGGGCCTCCCTAGCCCAGCCCTACCTTCCTGCTCTCCTTATTGAATATCCTAAGGCTTTTAGGCCCTAGCAGTGAGAGATTACCTTTTGCGAACTGATTACATTGAATGGAGTCAGTAAACATAGTAACTGAACATTTTAGCACTGTCGATACATATTTACTAAGCACCCACTACTGCTAGGTATTGTGGGAGTATTTACTGAGCACTGTGGTAGATTGTGATGTCAGCCCCAATTCTCTGCTCCTCTCTGTGCAAAGAACATGAACTTTGCAAACGGACACTGCTGCTCCTCCCATCCAGAGATGGAGTCTGTTTCTTCACCCTTGGATCTGGGTTGGTCTTGTTATTTGGTTTAGTCAATACAACCGCAGAAGTGAAGTCATTCCCACTTTGAGACTAGACCTTGAGAAACCTTGCGTGACTCCACTCTTGCTCCGGGAACCCTGCTGCTCCATGTGAACCCACTGGGGGCTAGCCTGCTAGTGGATGAAAGACACGTGACCCACTGCCTCAGCTGACAGGAAGTCACTCCCCAGAAGCGGAAGCCTCTGGCTCCTTGGCAACTGACCCAGATACAGGAGGGAATCCAGCTGAGACCAGAAGGACTGCCCAGCTAAGCCCATCCTATAGTGCCAAGTCATACAATCATGAATGAAATAAGCAGTTGTTTTGAACCACAGCTAAGTTTTGGGGTGTTTTATTATGCAGCCAACACTGACTGATACAAGCCCTTACCATGTGTCACGCTCTGGCATTTGGAATCTGGCAGTCTTGAGAGGAAAAACTCAGTGCAGAGATGATATGGTAATGGGTATGACACCATAAGTGCTCTGGATAAGCAAACACAGTAGAGACAGGTGAGGTGGCATTCAATCTCTGAGGAATCTTATCTGTGTGGAGTTGGGGGGTCCAGGATGAACTTCCTGGGGCAGGGGACTGGCTGAGGTAAAGCATGAATGTGGCAAACCACAGGCAGGACCCATCAGTCAGCAGTATTTACTGAGCCCTCACTGTGTGCACAGAAACACTGTACTGCCTGTCTCAGGTCTACATGTGACCTAGCAGGGGAGCAAAGTCATTCACTTGTGAATGTCAAGTTGTTTTTGTTTTGAGTTGGGGGTCTCACTCTGTTGCCCAGGCTGAAGTATAGTGGCACTATCATGGCTCACTGAAGCTTCAACCTCCTGGCCTCTTGTGCTCAAGAAATCCTTCTCTCTCAGCCTCCCAAGTAGCTAGTACTACAAGCGTGTGCCACCATGCCCCCCTAATTTTTTGATTTTTTTTTGGTAGAGACAGGGTCTCACTATGATGCCCAGGATGGTCTTGAGCTCCTGAGCTCAAGCAATCCTCTTGCCTCAGTCTCCCAAAGTGCTGGGATTACAAATGTGAGTCATTGTACCCAGTCAGGCTGTTTTAGTGGAAAGGAAGTAGCTGTGTCTGCTTTGTCCAAAGTAACAAGCATTTGTTGGCTTAAGCAGATTGAGACTCCACCCACTTGTTATTTATATCTTGTACTTGATACATATCTGGCAGGGATGTGGTAGTGATGAATTCAGGGAGGTCTCCATAGTCTTCCTGGGAAGGCATAAAGGGTCAGTGTTAGGTCGGTGAACTGGGTTGATGCTGCAGTTATGCAAAGAATTGCACAGAAGGTAGATTAGAAAAATAGTTTATTCAGAAAGTCAATGAGAAAAGAGTGTATTCATTTCTGAAAGGAGAGGAGAGGCCAGATACTAAGAGGAAATCATGGCCCCGAGTGTTCAGGGCTGGGGGCTTATAAGGTTTTTCTTCGGGGGGAGGGCAGGTAGGCATTTTGGGGTGAGATAACAAAGAGAGCTGGCTCCAAGGTGATGGTTTATTTTCTCGTGTCTCTCATGACTGGATAGATGGGGGGTGATCAGTCACATAGACGAGAAGGGCTAGGCTGGTAGCTAGAAGATGCATTCTTGGGACAAGGATGAAATGTTAATCTTAATGTCTGTGATCGGGTAGAATGAAGAATGAAGCTTGTCTGGGTGCTGGAAAATGGTTCTTCCAGCTAATGATTATTGCTGTGCATCTAGTATTTACCTAAATACATGACCAGATCTGGTAACCAGAGAAACTCCATGTTGGGCTCTGTCCTTTCAGTTAGAAACATGCTGCTGGGGCAGTCACGAGACTGAACCTCTCCCAGAGGGCAGAGTCTGATTGATCTCAGGATACTCCAAACTGAAGTATGATTGGAGATATTTCTCATCCTCTTTCCTTTATTCCCACTAGCCCATTGTAGTTGTTTTCTAAGGCTTCTGTAACACATTGCCACTGCTGTTAACAAATGGGCTTGAAAGAGCAGATGTTCATTCCCTACAGTACTGGAAGCCGTAAGTCCAAAATTGAGGTGTCTGCAGGGTTGGTTCCTTTGTGGAGAATCTGAGGGAGCATTTGTTTCCGGCCTGTTCCCAGCTTCTGGTCCTTACTGACAGTCATTCTTGGCTTGTAGATGCATCCCTCCCATCCATGTCTCCATCCCCACATGGGTTTCTCCCTGCATCTCTTCTTTTTTTTTTTTTTTTTTAGGGTCCTAACCCCTCATACTTTGTATTTGGAAGTAGAGTCCTTGCAGATGTAATTAGTTAAGGTAAGATCCTGTTGGAGTAGGGTTGGATCCCTAATCCAGTGTGACTGGCATTGTTGGAAGAGATGCAGAAGCTGGGCTCAGTGGCTCAGCCTGTAATCCCAGCACTTTGGGAGGCTGAGGCAGAAGGATTGCTTGAGCCCAGGAGTTTAAGACCAGCCTGGGCAACATAGGGAGACCTTGCCTCTAAAATCAAGTAAAATTCAAATAAAGAAACATGCAAATGAGACTGAGAGGAAATACTTATCAAATATATATATATATATCTGTCTCCAAGTAAGTCTTTTGAAGCTGAATGCTGAGTATGTGCAGGGCCCTGTTTTGGGGTATATTGAGACGAATAAGACACAGACCCTGCTCTTAAGGGGTTCAGTCCAGTGTGTGCCTAAGCAGCGTGTCTTCAGACCCCTTGTGCCTTCCCAGAAAGACTTTATCTTTGAGGGGGGTACAATCAACCCTTAAAATCCATCAGGACCCAAGGATATATGTGTTCCTTGTCTGTCTGACTGCCTAAATTTCCAGAGGCTGAATTCACAGTTCTTTCTTCAGGACTCCCACATACTTAATATTTGCTTCTGTCTATCAGAGCATCTGACAGGTTCTTGATCTTTGAGGCAGGAGCCTCATCTCTTTTGTCTTCCCATATTGCCTGTAAAGATATACAGTGAGTCCTCCATAACCAAAGGTCAGGGAAGCAGCTCCCTCTTCCTCAGCGCCTATGTAGCTGGGCATGGGCACTGCACAAAACTTTCCATGCCTTAATCCTCACATTGACCCTCTGAAGTAGTCTATTTTATAGATAAGAACATTAGACTTGAGAGAAATGAGGTGATTTAGTGTCGCCAGAATTATTGCTTCTAAAAACGAGAATGGGCACCCAAAGACATCTCATGAAAAGTTCCCTATTCTCCTACTTCACAAAGTACTCCTGATCTGGGACGGGTGCAATGGCTCACGCCTGCAGTTCCAGTATTTTAGAAGGCCGAGGTGGGAAGATAGCTTGAGGCCAGGAGTTCAAGACCAGTCTGGGCGACATAGCAGGAACTCATCTCTATAAAAAATAATCAATCGATAAATAATACCAGCGTGGTGGTGAGAGCCTGTAGTCCCAACTACTTAGGAGGCTGAGGCAGGAGGATCACCTGAGCCCGGGAATTCGAGGCCGCAGTGAGCTATGATCTTGCCCCTGCACTCCAACATGGGCGACAGAGCGAGACCCTGTCTCTTGAAACAAAACAAAACAACAAAAAAGTACGCCTCATCTGGTTTACTCAACCCTTCCCTGGAGAAGACCAAATATGGAACCTATTGATCCCGGTACGTATTACACTTTCCAGTCTCCACCTGCACCCTCCCCAGCGCTCTCCCTCCAGAAGCCGCACACAAAGCGGTACCCCCCAGAGGACGGGAGCGCGCGGGCCTCCCTT